TTCCTTCTTTCCTTCCTTCCTTCCTTCTTTCCTTCCTTCCTTCCTTCCTTTTTTTGTACTGTCTTTGTCTGGTTTTGGTATCAAGGTAATAAACGTTTCAAAAAAAGTTTCAGAAAATGAATTGGAAATTCTCATCTTCTCTTTTATTTTCTGAAAGAGATTTTGTAGAATTGATGCTAATTCTTCTTTAAACTTCTGGTAAAATTCTCTAGTGAAATATCTGGAAGTTTTTTTGTGGGGGAGGTGGGATTTTTTTAATTACAAATTCAATTTCCTTACTAATTATTGGGTATTTAAATCATCTACTAAATTTCAGGTAAGTTGTGGTGGTTTGTACTTTTTGAGAAACTGGACTATTTCATCTAAGTTTTCAAATTTTTGTGTGTAGATTTGTTCATAGTATTCCCTTATCAGTCTCTGATGCTTTGCCAGTTGTCTAAATCTTCAAGATATTAAAAAACGTTGTATGTATCATCAATTTTTAGATTCTTGTAGAAATCGCCCTCAAAGCCATCTTGTTGCTCCAGTGTAGAGCCATCCTATTTATTTATTTATTTATTTATTTATTTATTTATTTATTTATTTATTTATTTATTTTTAGAGCGAGGGCATGAGCAGGGAAGGGACAGAGGGAAAGGGGGAGAGAGAATCCCAAGCAGGCTCCATGCTGCGTGCCCAACTCCACGACCCTGAAATCATGACTCAAGCAGAAATCAAGAGTTGGTTGCCCAACTGATTGAGCCCCCCATAAAGCTGTCACCGGGATTTTGTTTAATTTCTTTCCTGTTTCCTAAGTTCTGTGCCTTCCTTTTTCTTGGTCTATATCTATCAGTAACTTACTCAGAAGGGTGAAACTGAAAAGATCTTTATTATACACTCACATTTTATTGATAATTTTGGCTAAGAATACAATTCAAGTTTGGAAATAATTTTACTTCAGAATTTTCCAAGTATTTCTCCATTGCTTTCTTTTTTTTTTAAAGATTTTATTTATTTATTTGAGAGAGAGAGAAACAGCATGAGAGGGGATAGGGTCAGAGGGAGAAGCAGGCTCCCCGCTGAGCCGGGAGCCCGATGTGGGACTCGATCCCAGGACCCTGGGATCATGACTTGAGCCGAAGGCAGACGCTTTAACGACTGAGCCACCCAGGCGCCCTCTCCATTGCTTTCTTGTTTCTGGCATTGCTGTTGAAAGTTTGAAGCTATTCTGATCTTGATCCTCAGTATGTGACTTGTTTTTTTCCCCTCAGAAGTTTCCAGAATCTTCCTTTCATCACCAGTGTTCTAAACCTCACGATAATGATCTCTGGTATATACCTATTTATATCCATTTTGATAAGAATATGATAGATTCTTTCAATTGCTAAATTCATGTCCTTACATTTTGGAAAATATTTCTTGGATTAGTTTTTCAATAATAATTTTTATAATAATTCGTGAGATTAATTGGGAGACCATAGTCAACTAACTGAAAAGTGTCCCAAAACAAATCAGCTACACACCAAGACATTTTAGAAAGCACTTTTTCTGAAATCCAAATTTGCTTACTTACACTCCCTGTACATCCTTGGGATCTGCCCTGAAACTCAACTTTAGATGCTATAGAATGCCCACATAATAAAAGTAAGTTCATTTCTATACAGTTTAGAAAGGCACATTTTCCCCATCATCTCCAGACTGGCTGGCCACTGCAAGTACAGTTTGATGTCTTCTCCATTCTTGCTATCGGAGTGCAATGAGAAAACAGCACCAGTAATCTTTGAGATCACCTGAGAGGAAGAGGTGAGGAGGATTTCATCATGGGGCAATGACATGGCAGCAATTACTGAAAAGAAGGATTACAGCAAAAATGTCAGTTTCATATCTCCAGATTCTTACTCCTTTTGGACCCAGCACATAAAAAGTTTTTTTGTTGAAATTTATTTTGGTGTTTCTAAAGTTGTTCATTTCTGGCTTTTTCTTTGTTCATCTTCTCTTTTATGAAGCCTATAAAATATATCATTATAAAATATTTCTTCATCTACTACTGTAGTAGTAGTTCTCTTCCATCATTAACATCTTGAAGCTAGAGGTCATTCGGTGATTACATTTCTTTTTTTTTTAAAGACTTTATTTATTTATTTGACACAGAGAGAAAGAGAGAGAGAGAGAGCACAAGCAGGAGGAGCGGCAGGTAGAGGGAGAAGCAGGCTCCCTATTGAGCAAGGAGCCTGATGTGGGGCTCCATCCCAAGATCCCAGACCCTGGAATCATGACCCATTTTTCCAAGATGAGATTTGAGAATTAAATAAGAGTGCAAAACAAATTTCTCTCTGGTGTAATTTGCCTGTATTGTTTCATTCCGAGGCCAATCTTAGCAAGCTCATCTTAGGCTTGTGGCTGAGACATTTGAGACCGAACACTTACTTCTGACATCTGGTGATCTTATCTGGAGGGAGAGAAGTGTGAGGAGAGATATAGGTACTTTCTGCCACATAAGTATTTCATTTGTCAAAAGCCTGTGGCCTTTCTGTGCTAACAAGAGAGGGGTCCATATGAGGGTCCACATTGTTCTGGGTCCCCATGGAACTTAAAGGGAAACTTTCACGATGTTCAGAGCCCTTGGCATCCTCCTGCTATGGGAGGAGGATGTCCTGTAATTCCTTGCAGCAGGAACCCACTTAGGTGGCACCAACCCTGACTTCCAAATGAAACAGCACATATACGAAAGGGAAAGCGATGGCATATTTCAAATCTGGAGAGATCTTATGAGAAGCTTCTGCCAGCAGCTGGTGCCCTTGTGGCCATCAAAAACCCGGCTGATGTCAGTGTCATATCGTCCAGGCCCAGCGGCCCGGGGGCTGCGCTCAAGTCAGCTGCTGCCGCGGGAGCCACTCTGACTGTGGCCGCTTCGCTCCCGGAACCTTCGCTAAGCAGGTGCTGGCGGCCTGCAGGGGCCTGTGTCTCCCGGTGGTTAGGGATCCCCGGGCTGACCACCAGCCTCTCACAGAGATGTCTTCTGGTAACCGGCCTGCTATCGCTTTGTGTAACCAGACTCTCCTCTGCGCTGTGGGGACACGGCCACCCACACAACAGCGCGGGAGCTCGCGCAGTGGGTCGG